TTATTAAAGTTCAGATACCAGTCGTTTCGTTTTCACCAGGGTTTCATCTTCACTAGTTCACCTTTCATCAGAGGTTTTGTCTTTCGCCAGGGGTTTCGCCTTTCACCAGGGGTTTCGCCTTTCGCCAGGGGTTTCGCCTTTCGCCAGGGGTTTCGTCTTTCGCCAGAGGTTTCGTCTTTCGCCAGAGTTTTGTCAGTTTCGCCTTTGTTGGGTTTAGGTTTCGTCTTTCGCCATTTTTGTAAAACAGTTTCGCCTAACAACTATAATTGTGAGGGACCAACGTGAAGGGAATTAGTATTTTTTATGATTACTAATCATTAGCGGATTTTAAATACTAATTGACCTCACGTTGGACCAGTCTCATCTTGGTCCCTCACAAGTATTATAATAATCTTATCTATCTTTTGATGATACCAAGCCTTACACTGAACCACGAAAGTTAAGCCACAAATCTCCCCTATAATATCTCTTCCTCTATCCTCTGGTTGCCTAAATCGATAATAAAATGAGCGTATGTTTTATAAATCATTTTATAGCTGAGCAGTATGTATCCTATTCACAACTGTGTTTTATACTGTAAATGGCAAAAAAATGCAGCCAATTGCGGAGATTGACCTTAACCACCACAGAAAGCCACAAAATCACCACAGAAAGCCACAAAATCGCCACAAAAGAACAATTGTGAAGGTAGATGATTAATGAACTTTAAAGACGAGCGGTAATTATCAGAATAAAAAGTAAAAAAGTAAGCACAGTAAAGCACCAAATTAGAACTGAAGAAGAGAGCAGAAACAGCAAAATTTGTCTTAATTTAATCTTAGCTACAGCATAAAATCTCTACTTTTTCTATTTATAAGAGTAAGGTTAAATTGTGGCTTATTGGACTCACTATATATATAAAAAAAGTCATATGCTAATGATTTTTTTTCATTACATTGTATAGTGACAATCTTAATAGGAGTATATGGGCTGCCAAAAGAAGAAACCAAGGAATTGACTTTGTAAAAAAATTAATACCTAAACTAGTAAACAAGATCATCTAAAAATTTTCAATCGATTAGCTAGTTGATACGATTAATTAGTTCAAAAATTTTCAGTTGATTATTTGTTAACTAGACCAACTGCCAAACTATTAATAGTAATGCTTAACTGTCACTTGCACGAATGCTTAAGTGATACTTGCATAAGTTGCTTATATGACATTTTGCTAATACTTATATGATGTTTGCTAAAAGATATAAATACAAGTAGAATTCTCTCTCTTGCCTTTTAGTTGTTTAGACCTCAACTTTCCCTTTTCTTCTTGTACTTGACTCTAAATATTTATAATTAATAAATATATTGTTATTAAATAAACTTAAACGAACTGCCTCTTGTAGAGTGAAACTTGTTTTTATAATTTGTTAAAGAAACTTCTCTCTTGAATACTGCTTCTTAAAGTAATTAGATAGTCATATTGCTATTACTTATAGTATACTAAGAAGACTACGCTATCTGTAATACTATATAATTATATCTATATTTAAATATGAAGGTAAACTAAATACTATAATTATAGCCTATTAATTAATCTAATTATATATTTTTATTTATGCAACTTTTATTTAAATATGAAAATCTATACAATCATGTCTGTATTTGACATGACTAGAATAGTTATTAAAGTTGCAAATTGTATGATAAATAATACTACTACTAATTAATAGATTGCATAAAACTCTTGTATCATTATATGATTAAAAAAATTCAAAACAAAGATTATTTTATCAAAGAGTTTTTAACAAAATGATATTTATTTCAAATTTTTCTGATTATATAATGATATGAGAGTTTCAGACAACTCTTTCTGACGATCATCAAAACTAAAACAACAAGACAACAAAAATTTATTTTTCTTGTGCTACTACCTAGTAAAACTACTTAAAGTGACTGACTACACGAGAAATAAACCACGAGGCTGTGATAAGCCAGTAGCAAGAACTGCAACAAGTCGGTTTCAAGATTATACTAGGCCCTTTGGCTGTCTGACTTTGGCGAGGCGACTTTAAGTCAGTTTAGTAGAAAGGTGTCGATGGTGAAAAGAAGAAGTATAAGAAGGACTCCAACTATGCTTGTGCTAGGTCAAGCATATAACCGCTCTCTTTGTTTTGTTTTTTTGAAGAACTGCTTCCTTTATTTACAACAACTAGACTTTTGGACTTGGAATTGTTTCCCTTTGTTTCTCGACAGCAAAAAGTAGGAATTTGGCTTACCTCTGCCAAAAGATCTATATTCGTACTATGTCTATTTTGGGAAAGTCACGTTGTATGCTACTAAACAACAACAACTTGTAAACATATGTAGCCATGTGCTACAAGTTAACATTTGTTAACGTCTTCGTTAGAGGATTACGTGAAGCCATGCCCTGTTGGACGAGTAAGAAATAGACTTGATAGAATTAGTTGATATTACAGAGATATATACATGAGTAGCAACAGTATATATGATTTTTAATGGTAGTACTTGCCTTTGAGCTTGCTTTTGAGTGAAACTACTTTGGATTTTTCTTTTCCTTTTTTCTTTTTACGTCTAAAAGAAAATTCCTGTTCATTTTATTTTCGTTTTTGTTTGTTTTTGTCTATATTTAGATAGCAAGCTTTTTACTTGTTAGCAAATTATTCTAGCTTAAGTTCTTATAGCATGTAGCATTTCCGCTTTTCGTTATTTGTAACAATTTTTTATTTTTTTCTATCTTGGGACTAGGTATTAACAACTTTTAGTTTAGTCTTA